TTCCACCAGCAGCTGAATTGGGGACAGCTGGGGTGATGCCAGGTTGGTCCAGCAGCCCCGAGGGGCAGCGCTACAGGATCTACCCGGCAGCACCCCAGCTGCTCTGCCCCCGGCTTCGCCTATTCAGCCGCTGGTCAGTTTTAGCAGCGGCTGAATCGGGGAAGCTGGGGACAGAGCAGCTCAAATGGTCCGGCTGCCCGGAGCACTTCCGGGTTCCTGATGGTGCCGGACCATCAGGAGTGCCGGACCAACAGATGCCGGACCATCGGAGTTTTACTGTATATAGTGGGATTACAAACAGGTGAAAAATCTGCTAAATTAACAGATGCATCATCAACATGAATCAGTCTGAGGTGATAGCTATTTAATTCTGATTTTTTTTTTGGTTTTATTTGCAAAGTTTGGCTCTTCATACCAGTGTCTTTAAATAATAAACTAATTTTGCTTGATTAAATCAAACTTCAAAGATTCACTATAACTTGGATGAAAAAGATGTTAACAGAATATTTCTTTAAATTTCTAAATCGATGATATCTCTATGACCAAGTACTTTCAGCTGCTTTTAGTTACATCTTTCACATCTAACCTGACAACATAAAAATCTTTATATATCCTAAGACTACAGGAAAAAAAAATCTAAACTTTGGAACTTACTGACTTTAGAATGCTTGATCTGCAATTGTTAATTAACATTGTTATGAAGCCTCAGAGCATTTATGATTTTACCCTTATTTTTAACATTCTATACAGTACAATTGACTGTCCTTCCAGAACTGCCATTATGTTTTGAATTTATTTGAAGTAAGAGGATTCAAATAGCAGCACCTCATGTTTAGATATCTTTGTTTACTCATACCAACATTCAGAGAAGTAGTAATTCATTTCAAGGAAGAAAAATGTCTAAAATTAAGAGCCTCTTTTTGTTAAATTCTTATCAGAGAAAAAACAAAGTAGTTAGAATCCAGAGTACTTTTTTTCCCAGTTTGGAAGAGCCAAATATTGCCCACCACGTAGAACAGGACACTTAAAATAAAATATGCAAAAACAATTCTGAATTTGAAAACAGACCTTTGTACAAACTACTACTACTGGAATGCCTAAGTTACATGTTAGCGTATCTGCTCCCAAAGGTAAAATCACACTGTCATCTTTGTCTTCCTGCATTGATGTGTTCCTTCTTTGTGGAGAAGCTGGAAAATCTTCTCCTGGTTCTGTATATTCCTGGAAATCTCTTACCACTGAAATGAAAAAAAAAAAAAAAAATTAATTCATAATGGCAGCCACTTATTTCAACAATAATTATTCCCATCACCAAAATCCATTTACTGTACACAACAGAGTAAGAGTATGTCTACACTAGCCCCCTAGTTGGAACTAGGGAGGCTAATGTAAGCATTCGAACTTGCAAATGAAGCCCGGGATTTAAATATCCCAGGCTTTATTTGCCTGTTCCCGTCCAGTTGCCATTTTTAAATGCCACTTGTCCGGACTAACTGCCCGTGGCTACACACGGCAGTGAAACGGTAATTCGAACTTAGTCCTAAGCATTTGCAAGTTCGAATGGCTACATTAGCCTCTCTAGTTCCAACTAGGGGGCTAGTGTAGACATACCCTAAGTGTTTATTCATGTTTAAAAAGCAAGTATGGATTTGTGAAGAGCCCAACATGCCAAAACACCCTAATTTCCTCCTCTGATGGGGTCACTGGCCTAGTGAATAAGAGGTAAGCAGTTGCTACACTAGACCTTGATTTTAGTAAGGCTTTTGGCACAATCCCAACATGACATTTCTAAGCAAACTAGGGAAATGTTATCTAGATAAAATTACTACAAGGCAAGAGAAAAACCAATTGAAAGACCTGTTGAAGCAAAAGACTTCCATGTATTTAGGCGGCTAAGAAACAGCTTTATTGATCAATAAGGCACAAAGTGAGCCAAACGTGACCCCAGCAGAGCCGGGCCCAGTAAGGCTGTTCAGCACAATCAATCCTAGTATTTTATACCCTTAACCAAACAAGTCTGACGTCAGGGCAAGAAATCAAAGCGAACTTCAAAAGAAACTATTATCAGCAAAGAAAGAAACAGGTTTTAGGGAGTGAGAGTTTCGACTCAGAATACTTCATTAACGCATTCCAACAGCCCATCTTACTGGCTTTTTTCCACATTGGTGAAGGTCAGTTACTCGCTGGCGTACGTGCAGAAGCAAGAAACTGAAATGGTTTTGTTATACAGAATGTCTTCTAGCTAAATATGAAATGGTTTCCACAGACCATACTCCAATTATTTACCAATTGTTTGCTGTCAAACAGAGGGGGGTTATCTAGCTGGGTCCCATATGGGTCTCTCTGGTTAGCGGAGTAGAGTATGTTTATAAAGTGTGCAAATGACACCAAGCTAGGAAGAGTTAAAAATATGTCATAGGACAACATTAGAATTCAAAAAGACTGACAAATTGGAGGATTGGTCCTAAAACAAGATGAAATTCAGTAAAGACAAATGCAAAGTGTTTCACTTAGGGAAAAAATCAAATGCACAAACACAAAATGGGGAATAACTGGATGTGGGATAACAGTGGATCACAAGCTGAGTAGGAGTCCAAAACAATGAGAAACAAAATGTGATGCAGTTGCAAAAATATTTAGTATCATTCTGTGATGTATTAACAGAGTGTTCAAAGACAGACATAGGAAGTAACTGTCCACTCATTAGCACTAATTATGCCTCATCTGGAGTACAGTGATCAGTTTTGCATGCCTTTAGGAAAAAGGTGGACAAATTGAAGAGTCCAGAGGAGGGCAATAAAAATAAAGGGTTTAAAAAAAAAATCTGGTTTATGAGGTAAGTTTAAAAACGAGTCTTAAGACAACAGAAGGGAGAACGTGATAAGTCTTAAAATATGTTAAGAGCTTTCAGGAGGAGAACAGTAATGAACAGTAGAGAAGGTCAGACAAGTAGAACTTGGTTTAATCTGCAGCAAGGGAGATTTAGATTAGATATTAGGAAAAAACTATAAGGATAGTTAGATATTAGAATAGGCTTCCAAGGTATATTACGAAATCCCTGTCATTAAAGGTTTTAAGAAAAGATTAAATACATCTGTCAGAGATGGAGTAGGTATACTTGGTTATATATCAGTATAGGGGAGGGAATTTGGCTACATGGTTTGAGGCCTTTCCCAGCTCTATGTTTTTATGATTAGTTTACTGTAATATATATATATAAAATCACAAATGCTGATTAGTGTGTTTTTCATGTAAATGAGTTTCAAGGACTGTAAAGCATACAGAGAGTACATGAATACTATAACAAATGACACTGCACTTGAGATACTATGTATGATAAATATGCTATGATACATATGCTCAAAGGGACATAGTAAAAGCTTATTCAATTCCTTACTTGCCATGCAAATTTTTTACAATTTATTTTCCTAGATGATTGGAGAGTACTGATTTTCCTAGATTCTTCACACACCCCAATTCCACCATTTGGAGCTATTTAAGTGAACACTGCTAAAATGCCTTTCCCACAAACCTTTGATGTCCACGAAAGAACAACCGCTCCTGCAAACACAGATGTTTTGGAGAGCCTGCTCTCACATTTCTTAAGCCCAACAGAGTTTAGTCCCTCCTCCAGCAGAGCTTGAGAGTTTCATGAAGCTCCTCCTACTTCAGCTATAGTCTGAAGTATGGGGACTATAGAAAAGACAGATCTTACAGAAAAGAAACATGAGTGCCACTGAAATAAATCAGTATTTCAACAGAAAAACTATGACTCAAGGCACAATATTTTTTCCACAGGAACTTGCTGGAGCATCCAGATAGGTTGCCACGAACTCTATCCTTTGGGCGGGGGTCAAAGTGGACTTGGCCTTATTTATAGTGAGGCCCAGCCTGAAAAAGTTCTTCCGGACAAGGGATATGTGCTCCAAAACCTGGGAAGGGCAGGAAACCTTTATGAGCCAGTTGTCTAGGGAGGGGTAGATCTGAGCCCTCCTTTTCCTCAGGAACATGACGACCACCGCCATACATTTTGTGAACACCTTTGGAACTGTAGAGAGGCCAAAGGGAAGGGCCATAAACTGATAATGATCATGGCCCACTGTGAACCGAAGGAAGCACCTGTGAGGAGGTGCGATCGAAATGTGGAAATAGGCATCTTTGAGATGGAGGGCAGCGTGCCAGTCTCCTGCAGCTAGTGACAGAACAATTGAGGCCAACATTACCATCTTGAATTTTGACTACACTATAAAAGCATTAAGGCTCCCCAAGCCCAGGATGGGGCGGAAACCTCCCTGGGCCTTTGGAACCAATAAACAAGAGAACTCCTCCCTTGCCCTGCAGTCCTTTGGAACCTCTTCCATAGCTCCCAGATCAAGGAGCTGTTGCACCTCCAACTTTAGGAGATGCTTGTGAGAGGGGTCCCTGAAGAGGAACAAGTGGGGAGGGGAGGGGAGGGGATGTGAAATGGGATGAAGTATCCACTTCACACCCTGCCTAGGACCTAGTGGTCCATCCTGATAGGCAACAAGGCATGGTGGAAAGGGGATAAACAGTTGGTAAATGGTCGCTGACCCTAGGCTGGTGCACTGTCCCTGCTCACTCCTTCAAAGGTTCTGCTTGGGGGCTAGTTCAAGGGACCCCATCCCCTCATCGGACAAGGAGTAGGACTGCCACCTGCTGTTTCTGTTATTGCTAAAGTCTCCATGCCTGGAGAAGTCCAGCCTGTTTCCCTGCTGGAACTGGAGAAGGGGGTCCCTGGGGAGGCAGTGTCTCTATGGATCAGGGGTATGGATGCCAAAGAACACTTGAGGGTCATCCTAGAGTCCTTCAACCCATGGAGGCTGGTATTAGTGCACTCTGAAAGTAGGCCTACCCCCTTGAACAGCAGGTCCTGAATGGTGTTCTAGACTACTGGTGGGATGCAAGACACTTGGAGCCATGCACCACTCTGTAAAACCAGGCCAGTCGCCATGATATGGGCCACCACAGCCGAATCCAAGGCTGCCTGGAGTGCTGCATGGGACAGGGCCTTGTATTCCTGCCTGGAGTCCTGGGGCAGCAACTCCCTAAACTTATCCATCGCTGCTTAAGAGCTGAAGGTGTATCTGCTCAGAAGCACCTGCTGGTTGGTGATCCGGAGAGGAGACCCCCAGAGGCACAGGTCTTATGGCCCAAGAGGTCCGACCACTTGGACTCCCTATTCTTGGGGGAGGGAACAGGTTGGACATTTGTGGTGGTTAGTAGCCTGCACCACAATCAAGCTCGATGGCGAATGTGATGCACCTGTTTGATGGACAAAGTACCACCATTCAGCACTCTTATCTGTGGGCAGAATGGAAGCGGGTGTCTGCCAAAGGCCCTTAGCAATCTTGCCCACTGGTTTTGTTTAATATCAGGGATACTCGAGACGGGGCCTCCAAGTTAAGAATGCCCACCATCGTGTTGAGTCCTTAGAGGCCCACTTGAGCTGCATTCCCAGGCTCTGCGCCAACCACTTGAGGGGGTCCTGATGGGCCCAGAAATCCTTCAATGGCATTGATGTGGAGGCCAGTCCCAAGGCCTCATCCGGGGAGGATGACGAGTACTCATGTACTATGAAGTCTTCATGCTCTTGAGATGGCTTCAAGGTCTGAGATGGAGCTGTTTGGCTCAGAGGGCCCTGGTCCCCAGCCTCTTCCAACAAGGGCCTAGGGGATTCCCTCTGGGTTGGCATCGCCTGGCCTGGTGCCAATGACTTATGCAGTGGTGTGGTAGAGGGTGGCACCTGGGGCCCTGAGTGTAAGGAGCCTGCAATGAAGGCGCCTGGGCCAGGTCCTGGGCCTGATGGTATGCCCATGGGAGTCCAGAAAGGCCACTAATCCAGGGAAAGGGGTTTGCAGGGACAACTGGCTTGAAGAGCTGTGGTGCCAGGACTGGGAACATGAGACCGTAGCACAGGACCTCACCAATTCCACTTCGGAGCCTGAGGAAGAGTCAGACTCTGACCAAGGCGGAGCCAAAGATGAGCCTGGCAAAACGGTGCTGCGAGGAGCGTTGAACCATTGCTGCTGGCTTGCCCCAGTGCTGGACAGGTGGTGGAGGCATCAAATGCTCCAATGCTATTGGCTGCGCCTCCAGTATCGGAGAGCTGTAAGCCAAGCTCTCCCTCGACTCCTGGGAGAACATCACTGCCCCTGGTCATGGCTCTGTCCCTGATCCCACCCCCAACCTTGATTCCATCTCCACCACCACCTCCAGATGTGGCCTCCTTAAACCATTCCTATCCCCCTTCTCCACCTTCCTGGAGCTGGGACCCCATGGACAGGGGGGCAGCATCCCTCAAAATTTGAGGACCACTCCTCTGAATTTCTAATTACTCACAATTCTCAGATACTTCTGGAACTGAAGTTTTCCATGGGCTTATTCAATTTCAATTATTTGTTTAAAAGGAGAACTTAAGTACAACTAGCTCATCCATCTACATTAGTAAAATAGGATAAATGCTTTCCTCATATGTTCTATCTTTGTAATTTTCTTTCCCAGCTTCAGTCATCTATGTTTGATAATTATAAAACAAAAACCAACAAGTATGGATAATAGCCTAAAAATATTGAAACAATTTTCTTGTGACTATGAGAATTAAAATAGCCACTGAGCATATGAACTTTAGGAATTATTTATAGCTAGTATTTTATGGTGCCCTTACCCAATAGTGATTTAACACATGTTGCATTAATTAAAGACTGCCTCAAAATTGTCCTTGAGCAAATATAATTATTACTCAAGTGACAAAGAGGTGGAAACAGTGCCTATATGCTGCCCTTTAAGCTAGGGATGTGAAGGACTAGTTGACCATCCGATAAGCAAATACTTATCAGATAGTTCACAGGATAGTTGACGAGTCGATTCCCCCCCATCTTGCTACCTCTATCAGAAGAAGCAGGTGGGAATTGTGGCCAGACAGACTAACCCCATATTATCCATCTTATTTGCCTCTCTGAAGCACAGGGCAGAGAAGGAGCAATAATATCAGCATAGTCTATGCTGGCTCATCTGATCCTGAGAAGCTGAAACACAGATATGTGGATAGAGAGCAGTTAAGTCAATAAGCTGGCCTCGAGGCTGCGGCTGGCACCTATGTTGATTCGAACACACACACAGTCCCTGGAAGGGGAATTTCCCACTGAGAAAACAATGTCCTGTACTTCCAATTTAATCACCTCAAATCTCTCTTACAAGTGTAAATTAAGTTCACAACTCCCTTGTAAGAACTGGTCTCACAGCAGACAGACCAGCATCAATTGGCATTACAGATAAGAAAGAGAAATACGTGACCCCATGAGTATATAAGATGGGCCCAGCACACACTCACTTTGAGTGTCATTCTACCCTCTACCTGCTGGTCGGGTTAGGTGTTTGACCTCCCGAGGTTCTATGGGGACGCCCACCTCGTATTTTCGTCTTTCCTAGGAATTGAGGGACCGGCCCTGGCCTGACATGCTGGAGTCGAGAGGCACAGAAGGGGGTAAAAATTGTACCTGGATATGGTCCTCTGTCTTAAGTGTACACATAGAAAGAGTAAGCTGTTACTTGGTACCATTATTTCTATTTTTCTATCTTTATCTTCTTTGTAACCATTTTTAAGACCTATATTTTGCTAATAGTTAAGAAATAGAACAATAGCCATTGCAACCATATGATTTATAAGCTTCCTCAATAAACCTGTAACTGTTTAAGCTTTAACCTGACTCCTTCAGTTGCTGTAACAGAACCAAGCACAATTTAAAAGAACCTCAGCCGGTCATAAAGGGACAGATATAGGGAGAGCTTGGGCGTTTGGATTTGTGTCACTCCCAGGTGACAGGATCCACTGGGGCATCTTTCAGTCTTTCTCCAAGGCTGCCCGCTGCGAAGGAATTATGAATTCTAGCAGCTGAAATCTAAGATGTAATAAGCTCTTCCTATATAACGGGGCGTCTGTTGGCCTGCTGGCCACCCTCTGCGATGGGACCCCGGTCCTAGCAGTAAAGGCACGGACGTTAAACCTTTTCTCGGAAACATACACACCCACACTGCCCTGACCGTCGGCTGACAGTGGGGGAGCAGAGGGGAGAAAAGGATGGGATACTTCAAAATGGCAGTGTCACTTGAAGCCTGGGGCCAGACCCCGGGCTTCATGTGGCGCTGCCGCTTTGAAATGCTGTATGGAGCCCAGGATCAGCTGGGGACTCCCCCTCTGACCATGGACTCCATGCAGCACTGACGCTTTGAAATGCTGCAAGGAGCCCGGCTTCAGGTTGCACACGGTGTTTCAAAGTGGCAGCACTGCATAGAGCCCAGGGTTCCACGCGGCGCTTTCACCTTTGAAGTGTAGCAACAGCCTTAAGTCGATATTTAACATCCTCACATCTACCTAGCTGTATAGTCTTAATAGAATTGCAAGGCAAAACTGAAGAACAAGGCTTTTAGAAGTTATAACTTGTATGCCAATTCAAAGTTATTCTAAATAGAGAAATATTATTTATGCATTGAAGGTACTTTAACAGTACAATTTAGGCAACCTAACTCAAGATAGTTACTTTACTGAATTTCCAAAGACTAAATCCAGTTTGCATCAGAAGTTAAATAGACCAAAAACACATTAAGTATATTTAATTTCAAGAGTTTCAATCTTTTAAAATACTCACACTTTTGTTCCATTTCTTTCATTTCTTCAGGAGGAATTTTTAATTTGTCAATATGCTCTCTTACAACACTTGCCCACTTTTGTAAAGAATCCAATGCAGTCCAAGGCCTAGACATGTCTACAACCAACATAATCAGAGTGTCCTTTAAAGAGTTAGCTTCCATTGCAAATTTAAGAAGACCTTTATGATACAGGTCACCATCCAAAATCCACACGTTACATCTTGTTTGGTCTATAATAAAAAGTAAAAAAAAAAAAAAATAGATTTTAGTTTATGTTTTGCAAATTGCCCTTTTAAAATGTAGTCTACTGGACCATGGTTAGCACAATAGAACTGTCAACACAATTCTATTAATATCAGGTTTCTTAGTTCTTTGTCTCCATGAGCCAGTATGTAAAAAAGCAAGGAACATATACCATCTCCGCATATTTTATGTCTGCAATATTAGCCAACTAGTTTTTGTTTTGTTTTTTTAAAGAAACAAAGGGAACATTTCAAATGTATCAACTACTCTACCAGCAACTGCCTGAAAGTGGAAAGCACAACATAATACCTGGCATTTGTGTAACATTTTTCATCTTCAAGTACAGATTGAAACTCTCTTAACCGGGATTCTCTGCCTAGGCAACATCCATGTTCCGGCACGGACATTGCAAGACAAGAGAGTCCCGGTGGAGGACCAGCAGCAAGGATCGCTGCAGGCAGGGCCGGCCCGAGCCATTTTGGCGCCCCGGACCCGGGCGCGCGGCATCACCCCCGGGTGCAAGACGCATGTGCGAGCCCGCCCATAGGGCGCAGGCCTGTCCCCGGGGCACACGGCACATGTGCAGCCCAGCCACGGCCGCTGGCGTGCAGCCTGAGGCCCGCCCCGGGGCGCACAGTGCATGCGCTGCCCAGCCCGGCCCAGCCCCCGCCGCCG